CGAACGCCAACTTGGCCTACGTAGTCTTGGAACGCATGGCCGAGCGCGCTCGTGTCCACGTCGGCCGTGGGCCAACGTGTTGGTGGCACCTTCATGTTCGAAGGTGCTGGCCTTCAAACTCTCGTGCCAGAAACACTGCAGGCAGAGAGTTGTCAGGAGGGGAAGGGAAATCCTCATCATATCAAGCATCACCATCATAGTCATAGCCACACACAAGCACCATCCCACTCACCATCACCATCGCCATCGCCATCACCATAATAACAATAATAATGCTAATCATAATAGTCATAACCAACCTCGCCATAATGGGACGGGCGATGAGCGGGCGATGGGCGCAATACGAATACGGGCGAAATCAGGGCGGACCCGCGACGCTGGAGCATGATCAAGGCGGGGGGGGGGTGCAGCTCGGGAGGACCCGATGGAGGGGGGCGAGGGCGGGGGCGGGGGGGGGCGGGGGGGGGCGACGAGGACGAGAAGGGGGTGTGTTGTGAGAGGGAGGGGGGAAGGGCGGGAGTGAGGGGCGGAGTGAGGCGGGTGGGGGGGGGGGAAGGGAGAGGTAGGAGGATGTATGATTTTGTTTTGGTCTTCCAGCTCGCCTTCAGGTCCTGCTGTAATAGAACCGACGCGGCAGCTCTGGCACCCGTCGGCACCACTGCGGCACCTTGGAGTCGCCCTCGTGCCACGACATGCACAGGGACAGCGCGCCGACTGGCGTGATGGTCAGCTCCCCAGGCTGGCCTGGGACCCACCCCGCGTCCACAGTCCAACTCACGGGCCACGCTCCCCCCGCCAGAGGCTCCCCCACGATCAGCGCGATCGCGTCGGGGCATCCCTGCCATGGGCAGGGGGATGCCCCGCGCAGCGCGGGCCCGATCCACGATCTGGCGGGCTTGGGGGGCCTGCCGCGGCTGCGCTTCATCGGCAGGCCTGGCGGCGCATCGCCGACTTCCATGACCTGCCATGGCTCGCCCAGGCCAGGGGGCGGGCGGAGCCCCTGGCGAAGCACGAGGCACGACGCCTGGGTCATGGCCCTCGAGCCTTAACAAGCAGGCGCTCGGAGGAGGAAGAGGGGGGGGGGGGTGGGGGCGGGGGGG